CTTCTCCTTTCCACACTCTTTATCCCCTCTTTTTTAACCAAATAGGTCTCTAGGAACTCTTTTAAAATTAATGTCCGAATCTTAGGCATTACTGGGAACCGATCTTGCGCTTCTTATAAATTTGTCAGAGTAGGGGCGGCACAAATTTTAATAGGTTTGTCTCCTCAACACAGATGACGTGATCATTCGGTTTTGCTTCCGGTTCTAAAATTTTTAACGAATATTCAGGTTATATAATTTTTAAGGTATTATGATGATCAAGCACTTCAATTTGAGAATAGCATTAGTGTTGCTCTTTTTGGTGTTCTATGGAGTCAGTCTGCATAATGTTCAGACTGAAACTTATGCAAATTTAACGTAACTTTTCTCTCACCATGTATTCATAGAGAAATTCTGTAGTTGTTAAGTTTTGCTCCTATCAGTCTCGTGAATCTATTCCTCTACAAGTAATTAAATTGCGTTAAGAAGCGGGATCAAGGTTTAACTATGCAAATTTGTGTGTAGTTAGATGGGAACCGTCATTTTGGTCAACGAAACGAAAACATTTCAATTGACAGGATTCAAACTGGTTTCAGCCTGCATCTCCACGCCGTGCTAAAGGTATTTTCCATCGAATCGTGATCAGCGCTTAATGTATGCTTTTGTAGAGTACTGAAATAGAGCGAAAAAAAAAAGGGCACTAGGCCGAGAAGTGTGTAACCTAAGATGGCGAGAAACGCTACTGATGCGTATTAAAATAGTGAGATGTTTTTTGTTACTTATCGCTTGCTGGGCGTTTCACCAACACCTTTATAAAGTACTGTGCTTACTTTAAATTCCTTAGTTCCCATTTGCATCAAATTGTTACGGCAAGGTTCTAAAAGTCCTAGGGACGTATTAAAAACTTGAGAAAATACACAATTCATGCAGACAATCTAAGCCGCCATGACTGCGGCCAAGTTCTGTGTTGAAGACATCAACAAGTAACTTCTATTATTTATGGCATGATATGTTGAATATCAACCGAACTGTTTCACTAATAGGACAATCATTTAGGCAGATTAAGTCTCGGAACGAGTTGCAGAAAAGTTTAAAATAGGCATTTTCGAATGATGAATGCGACAAGCTCCTGATGGAACTCCATTATACACATTGTACATTACCATGGCAGTCTCGAATGAATCAAGCATTTTGCCAAGATGTAGATCTCACTTATCTTACCTAACTGTCGCATGTTCCCAGCTATTACTATGGCCTCACCATACATGGAGAAAGAACTCGTACAACGAAGTTGTGAAAGAATAAGTAGGTTTGAAAGAAATCATGTAATGCTGTCATTGAAACATACACCCGACGCGGTGATCTTTTAAA